CCCCAAAACCCCAAAACCCCAAAACCCCAAAACCCCATGAGTCGAAAAAGAAGAGATTAAAGAGGAAAAAATAAAAATAATATATTTGAGGGGAGGGCATTATAAAATGAGATAATTAAAGTAAGTTTTAAATGCTATAACTATAGATAGTAATGGATCTTCAGAAGTCCTTTTTTCTATCGAATTCTCCTAATAAAGCCAAAGATAATTCCTATCTCAAGAGATACAAGGAAACTCGCAGAAATAAGGTGTAGGGTTCCTCTATGGCTGTGACTAATCATGAAAGTGGTGGGATGAGTCCTGAGCTTCCTAGTATATTCAGATAGCCAAAATCAGAATTAAAAGGCCAACCAACATTAGATAGGATAGACTAATAGTTGAATCTAACATCTAAAAGTCATTTGGGTCATATCAACACCACTACGAATAGAGTTTGGAGAGAACAGCCAATAACTATCTTGAACTTCGGAGATGGGGTGACATTTAAGGCAAAAGATCATGAGTAGTTTGGTGGCTAACGTAAAAAAGAAGAATTTCAGGGATGATATCAAACTATCGACAATCATAAATGACTTCACCTCAGACAGCAGCACAGATCTCACAGAAAGTAACTTTAGTAAATGATGCAGAATCGCACTTAGCTAGCCTACTATGACAAGTAGAAGAGTACTGGAGATCATTAAAAAGGAAGCGTATCTCCTGGCTTGTATAATACATTTGACTAGTCATCATTAGAAAGCCTAAAGCTACATTAAGATCTGTAAAAAAGCATTCATATTATGGAAACTTCAAGTAAATTCCTCCCATTGCACCGACAGAAATCTTTGAAAAAGTTGGGTAGAAATAAGAATAATGTCGCTAATGATAACATCCTAAGAAACGAAAGCCCAAGCAAGTTAAGCCTGGAACGGAAAAAGGCCATTAACGATATTAGGATAACAGATGAGGATGCAGAAGTTAGCGAGAATTTCTTTAAACATAGAAAGGAGTTTAGTTTTGATGAATAGGTAACTTCGAGAAGAGTGGTAAAGTAAAACTATCATAAAATTGGAGATATTCATGTAATTCCAAAGAATTCACTTAGAGCTAGTGAAGTATTCACTGATTATGTACATAGTCCAATGACAAAGGAAAGATAAAGAGAGGAACAATTTGTAGATCATCATTAAATCTAAGCGTAAATAGATCTTGAAAGACAAAGAGCCGCGTCTATTCTATCAGATAGGAATGATAGGAATAAATCTTAGAATCAAAATTACTCAACTCTAAGCAACTTTTTTCTTAGTGGGATGTAGATTGAGGTTAAGGTTAACTAGAATGAGAAAAAAGCAGAGAAATTGGAAACATCTAATTTTATTTCACATAAGAATACAAACAGTCTAATTAAAGCAAAGAAGCTAGAACCTCTAAGTCTGACACAGAGCAAATTTGCCATGAGACCTGAGGAAAGTAAATCTCTGACATAGAAAGCTGAGCTACTTAGAAAGATTCAGGATTCAGTGGATAAACTATAAGAACTTAATAGTTAGGCAATGTACACCAGAGGCTCTAAGAGATTGAAGAAGCTTAATAAATAAACTAACAATAGGAATACTCAGATTTGAAGCTTAATGAGAAATTAAGGAGGTAGCAAGAGTAATTGTTTTAATAAGAGCTTTGATTTCGATGAGTTGAAGGCGATACCCAAAGACAAATTTTACTATGGAGTAATTGGGTTTAAGTAGTAGAATAGAGAAGAGGAGCTACTGATGGCTAAGAGAAAAAGGTCAGATCAGTTTCAAAAGTACCTTGAGAAGGTGGTGTTTTAACAAAAACTTGCTTATATGTTCAAATGAATGGGGATATATATGTCTATCAATAGCTAATTCTATATACTAACAACTATCTATCTATTAATTTTCAGGTTTATTATATAGTTTTTACTAAGTTATTAGTCTTTACGGGGTTTTGGGGTTTTGGGGTTTTGGGG